TACTAGTATCATGGTGTAATTCGGTACCCCGTGATTTCGTGGTGCCGGGTTCGATTAGGATTGGGATCTACATGAATGGCGTGATTCGAATTTTGCATAATGCATGAATTAATTTATAGTCTAATCGTATGTACTGCATAATGCGTGTAACCCAGGTAATAATTAATCCGGCGATAATCTTGTATTTAAGTAAAGCGATCTAATAATAATAAAGCAGTTAATAGAGTTAACAGACCAGAAGTTTGTGTTCGCAATTAGGTTTTCTAAAGCAACCTTTAGTTAAGAAACCGTGTAATTGTGTTGTCTTCGCTTTGGTGGTTAGTACCTGAACGATACGCCGGTATAAGAGAAAGCCAAGCGTGAAAAGACCCGTAAATTTGAGTAAAGCAATAGGTAGTTGGAAAACTACACGACAGTGGTGAAAAAAAGAAGCTTGAGTATCAAGAACATGGTGAAAAGATGTCTGGTAATGAAGTTGATGTGGCGAATAAAGAAGGAAATTGCGGAAATAATGATGTTAATGAAACATATATTGTTGGACGTTGTTGTCTAAATGGGATGGGAAGCAGAAAGGATAAACATGAAGCGTTAATTCATCATCAAAACTCTGCTGACACGAGTCATTCTAATAAAGGATATAAGGTTGGATCTAATCATGAAAGTGGAATTGATCCTGGAAATGAGGAAAAGAAAGATGAGGAAACTGTTGAGGTTTATGATAATAATGTTGTGTATATCAAAGTTAATGATGATGGGGGTAAAGCTGCAGATGGTAGAGCATATGAACGGTGCTTGAAAGATGTTGGGCGTGGTAATGTGAATGAACGATGGAACCGTGGATTCTGTCATGAATATGAAATTGAGGACAAAATTGATGAATGTCAAGCGTTTAAGTGCAATTTAAAATCTGATGAAGCGACCCAGGATCAGTCAACCACGAAGCAAACGTTGAATAGTATGATGCTGATGAACCATCAAAGTAAAGATCTGGCAAGAGCATGTGGAACAAACTGCTGAATGATCAAAATGTTTGGTGTTGCTGAGGCTATGGGCCGAAAGATAAATTGGAATCAGGTCGTTTCGTGTGGTAGTAAAAAGATCGACTTTCTTAAGCGGCTGTATTTGGATCATATTATCGGGTGCGATGGATTGGAAAGCGTGGTGCTTGGAAGCCGTCTGGATGTGCGTAAACTTGGAAGGATGGATATACGAACGCTGTGGTCTCAAGGGTGTTTGTAGTAATGGACATTGAGGATGAATTATGTAATGCTATGGAAATGTTTGAAAAAAAAAAAAAAAAAAAAAAAAAAAAACTTTGGGTTAGTATTTGTACTTCGGAGACGAAGTACAGGGGGGTCTAGCTCATGTCATGGTATAATTTGGTACCCCGTGATTTTGTGGTGCCGGGTTCAATTTGGATCGGGATTTGCATAAGTGGCGTGATGCAGATTTGCATAAAATTAATTAAAAGTCTAATCTAGTGATAGTCTAATGTGTGTAACCCAGGTAATAATATAATAATATATCCGGCGATAATCTTGTATTTAAATATGAGCGATCTAATAATAATAAAGGCAGCGTTTAAGTTTGGCTTTAGTAACGTTCTTATTATAAACTAAGTGGTTGCCCTTGTAGCGTCGAAGTGAAGTGGTGGCAGTGCCTGGTACGATACACCAGCGCCAAGTGAGTGTTCTGTCTAAGTGGAAACGAACAAGACCCTGTAGTACTGCAATTGGCCACGACAGCAGCGCATACTATTTATCAACAACGCCATAATAACGATTTTCAACAACAATTCGTACGGTCTGAAAAATATTTTTATTCACCAAGACAATTGCGGATGCTTTCCCAAAAATGCGCTATACATCTTTTAGAGATGTTTACTAAACTATACCATGCATATACCGAAATTACTTTTATTATTAGTTTTTCTTTGGATGATAATATTAATATATATAAATTAGCATCATTAGGTTATGAAATAACAGATTGCCATCTTCCAAGGGGTTTCGTTACATCAAGAAAACCTAATATTTCAGTTTTATGCGATTCGCCTTCTTGCAATGCTTCTTACGATTCAGTTAATGGTTGTGTTCTTGCATGCGGATACGGTTACCATAGTTATTGCTTACGGAATCAACAATTCAAATGTTTAATTTGTTTAGAATATTTACAAGATGAAGTTAGAAAAAATACTGATGCTTTATTAAAAAATTTAACAAAAAATTTAGGTGAAAACTTACCCAAAGAAGATATCGAAGAAAATAATGACGACGAAGATTCAGATGAAATTCATGAAATATTTGACGAAGCAATAATTGATCGCCAATTAGAACAAGTGAAAAGATTATTTTTTAAAATATAAAAAGAAAAAAAAAATTAAAATTAAAATTAATATATAAATAAAAAAATAAAGTTGTAAAAAAAACTTACTATATACCCAAACATAAAGTTAATTATATTGCTTATTAAATATCTTAATTTTGCAATTTTAAAATTTAATTTAATACGTAGTATGTACGTACGTACGATATAATAAAACGGTATAATATATCACGTGTATATAAATTATAATATAAATTGTAGTCTAAAATTGATCTACATTTATTGCTATTTACAGAAATCGTTGACTCAGGATAGCCAATCATTTAACTGTCTCTGCTGAAATTGTAGAATAGCAATTCATTGTAGAATAACATTACTATAATTATTTTTAGCATTATTATTGTAGAATAACGACTTA